CCTCTTATATCTTGTACTATAATTAGCATCTTTTCTAAGACGTTTTACACAAAACCAAAAAAATGAACCGGCATACCAAAAATTAACAGATACATAACTAAAACGTATGTGACAAATTCAAGATTATGTTTAGTCTATGATGTCTGCGTCTGTGGACAATCTATTGACCGCAGTTATTTTCTTGGACGTTAATTATTTGCTTCTACAGTCGATTTAGTCTATGGTTCTATATGGAATATATCTATGGTTGTAATCAATTACATTTAAGATTTTTTTAAGTTAATATAAAGTTTGTACTTAAGTAGTTACTTAGTGCGATAGAAAATCGAGTTAAGAGACGCACATTTAAAGCCACAGGATATAATGTTTTCAAATGCTTATTTCATTAAACAAAATTAGGTCCTATAATATCACAGTAGCGTTTCTTACGCCTTATTTATCTCGAAAAAATTACCACTATCGGCATCGGTCTATGTTTTGATCTGTTGGCTATAAAAATACTAATTGGCACTTTAATAGCATGTTATATAACATGAAGTTTTCCTTGATCTCTTTGTGGCACTGTGACCTCTTATACCAACATACATAAAAGATTTTATGATTCTTTGCAAAAAGTAACGAGTATTCATGCACGTCATGCAGGAAATATAAGCGAAAATTGGCCAAAACTACTTAAAGAGGCACCACCCATCTGTCATATGGTACTAGGATTTTAACAGATGAAAGAGATTACACTAGAAGAATGATTTTTACGACATTTTTATTTTATTTTATGAATTTAAATAAAATTGGCGTTGTATACTGTATATATGAAAAAAATATTTTGATTTGTCTATGACCATATTTTTTAATTATTAAAATATCAATACATTTTTTACTAAACAAATATATAATAAAAATAATAATACATAATTAAAAATTAATCAATGTACAATTATTTAAACATGTTTTTGTTAATTCTTGTTTATTAATTTTGATAGTGACGGAACCTTAAGAGATACAGAAGACATTCAATAGATATATGAGGTTTTACATTTATAGGTATAATAATTAACAAGCTAAATTACATAAGTAAAGCTTTAATAATATAAAAACGTTTATTATCATTTATTTATAGTCCTTAAAATGATTAAAGTGCAATCAACGCATCCCGACAAACGAACCGGTTCAGTTTCCGTTTTCCGTTAAGCCATCCCAAGGTTCTTGCGACCTTAACCCGACACTTATTCACAACAAGTCAAAATAAATCTGTTTTGGTTTCTGTTTCATGTTCAGTAACCCCGAGGCAAACACATTTCTAGGTATTATTTGAAGTCAAACAGTAATTAAGCTTGAACCTCTCGCTAACACAGACTGAATAAATTATACGCACCAGTAATAATAAGCGAAATACCTTTTTTAAAATCTAGTTACATATTTATATATCATACAACATATTACACGGTACAAATATGTTGCCCACGTTTACCAGAGATATGAAATTTTTAGTTACGGTCGCGTTTTTGTGACATTTTCGAAAGCCTCATAACATAATAATAGACAAAAGAGTTACGTGACATAGACGAAGATGGCTGATATTGTTACATTTTCGTTTGCAACAGGCCAAATAACCATAATTGGCGACCATTATGAAAACTGTACATACATTCTAGAATTTTTAAAGTACGCAATCGTATTTTGTAATATTGTACTATTAAGCGTAAATCTACGTTTTATTACGCAATATTAATAAAAGCGTGTATAATAAAATGGTTTATGTTCACAATTAAACGTAATATCTGAATAACAGTGCTATTTTATGAATAAAAGAGACAATAAAGATAATATAAAGGAAAATAAAATAAATCTTCTTATCAATAAGAAAGCTTCGAAAATATATTTGAGCCACTTTGAGAAATGAAAAAGGCTTGTATCGCGAAATACCGACTATGCGATGTGACGGCCCATACATCGCTGGACAGATGGCGCCGAGATCAGATCTACATTAGGAGACTAGCCAAAATCCTTTGTGAAGGGAGTCAAATATAAAATTCTATGAGACTGTCATTAGAATATCGGCCACGTGAATCATCATCAATGACTATCAGGCCCTTGTGGGTCTTAGCCTCCTCAAGTATATTTCGCCATTGCAATCTATTTGGTGCTTCGTGATTGACGCAACCCCTATAGTTTCGAGGTCCTTGACAACACATCCCACCAACGCAGCCTCGCTCTACTGGGGTTTCTCTAGAAGGTTGTGAGTTCAGTGTTCAGTTCAGCTTTCCAAGGACCTTGGGGTTCTGTCGTCAGCCATACGGTATATGACCCTGTTGCATTTTATAAATTGGACTGTTGGCGTCGTCAAAGACCTTATAAAGTTCTTCATTGTAGCGAATACGCCAAACACCGTGGTCGCAAACGGAGTTCTTGTTGCTATATATTATAGATATCATATATATGTTAGTTCATCACCTTTATTTCAGTTAAATGTTTAAAAAGGTTAACGTCGTAGCTGTGTAGAGTTATCTATTATTTGAATATTATCTATTTTATAGTACTTGAGTTCAAGACCTATTTAGATAAGACCTAGACAACGTACTACCATTATAGTTAATATTAATTTTCCTTAAGATTTTACTTTATAAAATATAAAGAACATGATTGTCGTGAATATTCAATTACCCTTGAAACCTTAATAGGTTTTTAAATTGTTCTCGCATTTAAAGTTTCTAAATGATTAGACATTTTGTTTGGATTTAAACTCTCAAAAATTTTTAAGCGAATACCAATTATTTTTACGCATGATTAGACAAGCGTTCAAATATATTTTAAAATTATGTTTTGAATTTTATATCGTTTATTTTTTCTCTTGTTAATATAACATAAATTAGGCAATTTTTATTTTACCACTCATTTATATTTATCAATGGCGCTACAAACTTTTAGGTCTGGGCCTCAGATTTCTGTATCTGTTCCGTGATCATTTCTAATAGGCTTGAGTAGGTGATCAACCTTCTCTGCCTGACATACTACGTCGACTTTTTGGGTCTAAGGCATGCCGGTTTTCCATCACCATACGAGCGAGTGTTAAATGCGCTCATAGACAGAGAGCACCGATTCATAATCGGGGATCGAATCTACGACCCCGGGGATGAGAGTCGCACGTTGAAGCTTCCGCTCATTTAACTCAGTATTATTGCAATATATTTGCCGCCACTCAAGGAGAGATGAAATCAGTGAGTAGGTACGTTTCACAAAACGCTTGAAAGCTAAAATTACTGTTCCACAACGTTACGCTATTTGATAACGATCTACAAGATACAATTATAAGAAGTATTTTTACAAAGTACTTTTCATTTTTACACTAATGTTAAGAGGTATATGCGATGTGTGGCGAGGCACGAATAAAAATTATCCGTAAGATATATTAAGTGTATATACGAATACGGTAAAAGTATATATTTATAAGATTTGACAGACGCTTCACCTATACCACAAATAATATAAACTTATTACAAAACTACTTCAAGTCGAATAATTATAAAAAAAGTAATCATTTTTTTAGGAAACGCAAACTTATTACTTAACATACATTTCATCGTTTGAATAGCATTCGTTTAGTAAACTGTTAAGTTTATAGTTAAATTCTATTCAGAAGTTAACAAATACTAATACTTTAGAAATACATTGCGATGTATTGTAAAAGTATTGGGGAAGCCAGTTAAAGTGCCATACCACTTTGGGGGCGAATGTAAATCCCGTGGAGTTTTTAATAATAATCTAATAATAATAGACAAAGTTGTCTAAAGAGACACCTTCATTTGTCAATTGAAAAATGAATTTTTACCACGTTTAAATTGTCTATTTACTTAGTGTGTGCCCTCACAAGCTTTCAAAATATTCGAAATACTCGAGAGACATTAGTGAACATTTTAACACCATTCCCAATGACACACGGACATGTAATAACTTATAACTATCACTCACTTTCCAAAAGATTAACTCATAAAACGAATGAAGCATAAACTACAGATTTATCACAGTACTTCTATAGCTTTGTAGGTAAAGAGAAAACATATACCTTTTCTGCGAATTTCAAGATTAAGATTCATTGCTAATTAACATTAAATTTAGTACTTGAAAAGTAATTGCAATGTCTATGTGGCTTACGTTGATAGAGAAATATATGCTTATCTATTTTTGAGTCTCGCTGCTGAAAGGAAAGAGGACTTTGACATACTCTAGGCTATATGCTTTATCCTTGGACCAAAGCCTAGGTCACATTCACGTTCCGACAAAGAAACTATTAAAATTATAATCCATAGAACATTCTGGTTGCTCTCCTAGCTCTTAATTCATAATTCGTTATCGTTGATACTACGATACTAGTTTTTATTTTGATTTGAGACATAAGAAGTGTAATGCGTCAAAAACAAGTCAGCGCAAGCAAGACGACCAGTTTTAGCAAATTATTTTATATGTTTAGGCTCTGAATCTGGGATTCGAAATAAAACTTTTACAACTTAAACATAACGAACATATAAATAGGAGTTTTAAACAAGTATCCAAGTGGGTGTGGAATTATTTATATTTCAAATTGCAAGGTTGTTGATATCAAACGGATATTTAACCTCATTCCTTGCTAATTTAAAAATAAACTGGTAGAGGCTGAACTGCATAAATATTTATTTGAAAGATCAAAAATGTAGAAATTAGGGCAAAATTAAATGTGTTCGTTAAGTTGGGATTCAGTAAATTGATTTACCAGTTTTTAAAAAGACTATGCAGTAAATTGCGTGTAGCCGCTAAAATTTAACCAAATAATGTTATTTAAATTTCTGCTATAAAAGTTTTAAACGACCGCGGATCGTTAACTAATATGCTAAATGACTTACATGATATAAAAAACTTTTTCGTATAATCTAAACATAATGGCTGATAACCATTACTATGAAAATGCTAATGCGTTGAATATATAACTAACCACGTTATTTTATAACTGTTTACAAACTGATACTGACCTTGTTTATTTATATCCCAAAGTACGATGACACATCCGAGTCTGGCGAGCCGCAATGCTATAAGGCTTCCTAAACCACCTCCGCCTCCAGTTATCAAGGCAATTTGACCCTTCAAGTCCTTTTTCGGGTCTCTAAATATTGATTTGTATATTTCGTAAAATAAGTGTCCAAGTGCCGTCAACAGAGTGACGATAAGGTCGAAAATCCCTTGAACTAAAGTGTATTTGTTCCTCATACATTCCGGTATCTCTCTCGTCAAAGGACCCGGCCTTAACCCATTCATATATTCTTGCGTTTCCATATTCATTGTTTCTGTATTTAACTAATTACTATTTACTATCGCATCACCGTTGTTATCTGAAACAAAGTAAGAGTTTATTAATAATTTAATAAATAAAATTGGTGTCCAATAGTTTCATTCATATTGACGTTTTTATAAAAACCAAGGCTTTTAAAGGAAATTTGTAAATAGTCACGCATACTCTCTCATACACGCACATATATACGAACATACACCAATATTTATATTACTAGGCCGTTTTGTTGGCTACCTAAACAAATAATTTTCTCTTTAAAAAAATAATGTGTGTAACTTGGTAATTATACATAGAATTTTGGCGTTAAATTATGTTACCGTATTAGTGACGTAAAGCAAATTAACGGTTTATTCGCTTCGTAAACAGTTATGTCAGAGACCTTTGCATAAGCCGACAAAAGCAAATTAAATCGCGATAATCGATAAACAAGTTATTTCGATTTAGTTTCAATAGCGGTCTTATACATATATTATGAATATGTATTTCTTGTACACGTTTTGGCGCGACTGAATCGGCCTGACATTATCACACGAGACGCAGACCAAGTATATTTGCCAACATCGTAAAGTTCAACTAAAATACCAAATTTTAATAATTATAGTGTATCTTCGGTAGAGCAGTTTAGGAAACTATTGTTGATGTTTATTTGAAAACTAGTGTTATAAAGTTCTAATTATATCTAATAATAGAATCATACTAGTAGACCCCTTAAGGTGCCGTATTAGGAACATAAAAAGCACTTTAATAAAATCTTATCACATATAATAAATTTTCTACAGTTTCAATTTAATGTTTTAAACTATAGAATTACAGTGGACATAATTTAAAAACAAAAAATATATATTTCCAAAAAGTTTTTATTTACTAAAAATGAGGAAAACATTGGATAGTCTCAAAATCAAGATATTGAAAATGATATGATTATAATAAAAAATGATTTTTTTTTACTTGTTTGATTCTTAGAAAAACAGTTTTATTGTGAAGATAATGTTTAGTTTTAATTTGTCTTGTAATTTCATAATTACACCTCAGTGACTAATTGCACTGGGGTTATTTACTGTTACTGATTCCCGAAACTAAAAAATAATAATGTGGCAGTAATTAAATAATGTCTGTAATCTGATATTTGTAGCAAAACATGAGAGCTTGGCGGTGAGAAGACGCACAATAACACACAATTATATATCCAGTTTGACAGGTACAGTTATTTTTAACTCGGTAACTTTTTCTGCTCTTATTTCTTAACAGACGAACACTGTAAATATTTGTGCTTCAATTAGAGATTGACGCTTATTTGAAACGAGTTAAAATAATAATAAACCGTTTATTTGCAAAGAAAGTGCTATATTCAGATTGATTAATTATAAAAACCGCTTATTTAAAAATAGTCATGTAAATGTATATTAATTATCGAAATGTCATAATAATAAGAACAGTTAAGTTAGTTTTAACTGTTGTCAAAACCTACTAAATACTCCCCGACGCTAGAAAGGCACCTTGCCTTTAGAAATTTAATCACCTTCCCCTTGAAGGCTTGAAGGCATTACACGTCACTGATCTACAATTTCTGGGAAGGTGGTTAAATAGTTTGATAGCCACTAAGAAATATGTAATCAATTTAGTATTATAATGTACTAAAGTAATAGAATTATACTATTACTTTAAATCTTATCCGCAATTTCGTACAGTAGGTATCTATTTTCATAAGTCAGTATTAATGTTTATTAGGGTTTCCAAGAAGAAAGGATGTGTTAAATTTTTCACACCGTATAGGTCCATAAAAAAGTAGAGTATTTTTAATTAAGATTTTCAATTATTCGACTTTGGTGTTGCTAAATTCTGATAACTCGAATATTTCCAAATTGAATCATAAGTATATTTTCTAAGGAATTACAAGTTATATAAATTGCTTGTCCCTGTACTAATATTACACAGCTAAATATTTTGTTTGTAAGCTTATTTTAGGAAGTACTGGTCCGAAATTAAAATAAATTACAACTGAATAGTATTCACTAATGTTAACTTAAATTTTTAAAAATTTAAGTTAACATTAGTGAATTTATATAATGTATATAACACACAATATACCTACTATATATATTATAAATTATTTCTTGTTAATTCCAATCAGCTACTTTTTTACGAATGCTTAATCAATTTTAAATAAAAAATAAATTTAAAAAATAAACTTATTTAAAGTTTATTTTTTTATTAGATACCAATGTTTGACGATTTATTCAGCGTTTTTCCTTTTAAACAAGAAAAATGATAAGCTGAGCCCGTTATCTTTAGGTATATAACGATTTATATATGCATATATCCGCAGCAATATAAATAATGACGACTGGAAGGAAGTTCAAATACTTCGTATGGAACATATTGGTACAAATTGTAGAAAACCATGGGTATGCTACTTCATACATACCGTGTCGCAATGACGGTCGGTGAATGCAATCATTGCACAAACTGTGTTTGAACTAGGGCTACCGATGTGATTAAAAATATAAGCCAAAGCTTTATTACAATCACCTATTAAGTAAAAATTAATCGCAAAATATGTTGCTAAGCGCAAAATTCGAAGACTGCTGGGCCAATTCGAGTTATACTTTTTATTTTTTTAAAACTAACTCGAATTGGTCCAGCGTTTTATCATTTAAGTCTAAGGTTTTTATAGAGAGGAAAACTTAAGTGTAACATAAATTATATAATTATTCGAATGTTGTTTTTAAATTATGTCCAATGCCGTAGTATCTTCCGTGGGTAACTTCATTCTGTTAATTTTATGTCACGGTGCGCGCGCATCGTAAAATTTCACTCTCATAAATTTTTCATAACGCGCCTAAAGAAATATAATTTCAATAATTTTTATTTACTGAATATATTGTTAGTACTTATTTACTTATATCTTACTTTACAAAAATATTGACACTAAATATATTCACTGTAGAAATGTTTAAAAACTTTTTTAAGAACTTTAATTTTAAAACTTTAAAATTTAAAACCTATAAATTATATTATATACTTGGCATCCCTAATAGTACATTTATCACACCGAAGGTCACTATAATATTTACAAACGATCATTTATGAAAATAATCATTCATATGTGTTAATCACGAATATATCATGACCACATGCCAATTATTATTCACATGTTTCTTTTAACCTTAAAGCTATTGAGATTAGTTCTCCATATTATAAGCTTTCTAAACCATAGTGATAAAAATATTGACACTATAATTGATTTGTCAATTGTCAAGTACAAGTTTGTAACATTATTGAATATGTCAAAATGTCAAGTAGATGTTACGATAGCATCTGTCACAAGAACGAAGTTTACCTAAGTATTATGCATTATATGGGCTATTGACTGTAGACATAAAAGTGTATGGGTAAGACTTTACGATTTGTCATATTCATATAAACTTTAATAATAAAACGCCAGCGTTTTATCTACCGCCGAGTTGCAAAGATACCCAGAGATATGAACAAGTTTAATACGAAGGAAGGTTCATTAACATTTCAAAATGTCATCAGACATCTTGTTTTTTTTATCTCATCGTGTATGTAATGTTTGCCTCTAAGTCCTTGTCACATTAAATATTTTATTTTTCTTGTACCAATGTATCAGTGTGCCGAGCGATGGCAAGCTCATATAAATAAATAAACTCTAAGGGTGCATCGTATTACTGGCTATACTGGTATGCACTGTCAAGGCTCTTCATTGTCATCATGGCCATTTTAAATACAAAACAATAGAGCATTGACATCCATAAATGACTAGCCACTCAACCGTGGCGACAATGCAACAACATATTGTATGTATAGATGAGATTGTCTTAGCATCTTAATAAAATAATAGATACGAAATGAGGACAAGTTTAGACGTTTAAATACTTAGAATAATAAGCTAATTTGAATTAAACTAACTGATGCTAATTGAACAATGAAATACGTCTTATTAAAGGAAAACAAAGAACCTTTGTGGATTTTTACTGTATTTTTGGATAAAACTAGCGAATAAGATTCTAATTATTAAAGCTTTGTGTATTAATTACTAAAACGATCCTTAAAGTTCAAAGTCGGTTCGAACAAATCAAGGTAAGTAATTTAATAAATTATAACATTGTCTATTAGACACTGACTGCTGTTTTAAATTGAAGAAACGCTTAGTATTGTCTTTGATTAACATAACTTTTATTCATTTAATAAAACACTATTTTGACCGGATTGAAGTTATGTATTATTATAAATTTACAACTATTTAACATAATTTTAAATTTATCCGACGTTTCGCGTGCTTTACAGCGTGCGTGGTCACGGTGACCATAACGTGTGATAATATGTAGTACATAACTTCAATCCGGTCAAAATAGTCTTTTATTAAATGAAGAAACGCTGTTTCTTCGTTAGGTTCGATGAAAAGTACCCGGTGAGCTCACCGTCTGTTTACTAACCATTTATGCCCAGTTTAGAATTTTCTATCAATGCAACTTGCTATTGGCCTGAAGGTCCAGCTCGACAGGTTTTCGCTCATGGCCTTAAGGGCCTTTACAGCTGAGCTCGGCCTGAATGAGAGCGAGACTCGAACCTCGGCTTTGGCCGTCGCCGGGTGTCGGAATGTAATGATCTAGTTCTGCCATCTAGTATATTAAAAATACGTGATCAATTGTAATAGCTTCCTCCTTTCGGTCAAAAACTTTGTTTAAAGGTATTTCAAAAACTTTAAATTAACATGTGTTCTTTGCTAATCTAAGGCTTACATAATAGTCTAACGTATAATCTCTACATTGCACTTGTGCAATCAAAAATACCCCGAAATACGGAGGTTTCGACACGAAAGAGTAATATTATTAATTGGACGTCAGATATAAATATCTGTTTATGGAAATGTTTTACATTGATGTAAGGAAATGTTGAAATACATATTGGTATGCAAGCGTCACATGCCATAAACTACAAATCCTCGAAAAGGGGTTAATAAAAAACG